GCCCCTAAATGAGCAATGGTGAGACGAAAAATATCATTCAAGCCTTCAGTAATGGTACCAACATTCATACTCTGGCTTCCATCGCCAAAGTCCATTCAAGAACGATCAGGAGAACAATGAATAAGTTTAGAAAAGAGGGAACAGTAGGGAGGAAAACTGGATCAGGAGGTCACAACAGGAATGGGAATCATCATTTCAACTTAGAGCTAAATATATTCTTATTGTTCAGAGTAGAGTCCAGTAGTGTTATAAAACACCTCAGAGAATTCCAGTAAGATTTATTTAATCATTTCTAAGATACACCATTTCAAAGCCTAACATAAACTGGATAATTTTGCTGTTACACGGTTTGGACAATTTTGCTGTTGCAGCCGGTATATATATATATATATATATATATATATATATATATATATATATATATATTTTCACCTTCATGCGCCAACACAATATATCGGAGAAAACTGCATAAATAAAAAACAAAAAACAAAAACAAAAAACTTACCTATGAACATAAAAGGGATCTCATACACAACAATTGATCAAATGCATTAGTTATACATTCGCCGTTTAGGACTAATTTGCTATGCTGTTTCGATTGCACATGCGCACGAACTCGGGATGCTTGTAATTTTAAATTAAATTTTTTTATCGTGGCATATAATCTAGCTGGTTTCATTTACTTTTTTCCCCTTTTGTTTCCATCACTTTTGTTATTAGACATTCTCCTCCCACACTGTGATAAGATCTGCCTGGATTGGTGAAATGTTGTAAGACCTAGGACGCAAATTCAATCTCTAAACATTTTCGTCTTAGCGAATTGTTTTCTCCTTTGATCAAAGTAGCATTTTTTATGTCAAAATTGCGACCAGTCGCGTTACGGTGAGCAACCAACGCATTTGACGTATTGTTTTGCAAAATGTTCCTTTTGTTTTATAATAATGTTTTATTTAGATTCCTTGAGGTTTCTCCTATGTATTTTTGTGACAAGTTTTTTGGTGACATAGGACGAAATGCGTTGCCTAAGATAAGTTTTCTTCTTATCTTTATTCATATATATATTTTTTTGTGGTGCGTATGTATGTGCGTGTGTAATTTTCTTTGTTAAATTAATGTTATATGAATTTGAAATCTAGTCTTGTCCTAATTAGCTTTGACGGTTCTCGGCTATAATGTCGCATTGTAGGTTAATTATCCTATTCGCGTTACTGCAAGAATTATCTTTAGAAACAATATTTCACACAGTAATATAATAGGATTCTATTTTTAAAGAGTGTCTTTTTTGTAATTGTCTTTTCCTCCACTGTCGTTTTTCTATCACACGAAACAAAAAAAAAAAAAAAAAAAAGACCAGATTTAACCTTGGCACTTCCAGACATCGCTAATACTTGGCCATTCCGACAAACGACTTCAGACAATCAGTTATACACGTCTAAGAAAACAGATATTTCTCGAACTTTGCAATGTGTTGCACTCGAGCGAAACAGGTTGTGGTCGCCTCGAGTAATAATTACAAGTTTCTCGACAAAGAAGAGGAACATTTGTCTTGAGCACGATGTTAGCTCATCTATTCTTTTAATAGGGCGTTTCGATGTGGTGCAATTGTTAGCCAGCTTACCTTGCTAGATCAATTATGACTGGATACTAAGTTCGATCCTCACTGTGGGCACCATACTTTCGGCTTTGTGCCACATGTAAGCTTCACTTCTTTCTGAATAAATTAAAAACAAGGCACACGCAGCAGTGTGTGTTAATTACTCTGTCATCAGTGAAAATATAAAATCAAGACTTCTTTTATTTCAATTATAAAATAAATCATTTCTTTAAATAAAAAATGTCTTTTCTCCATTTCTAAGGTAGACGATTATACGCATGGTCTTTTTTTTTGTGAAAATATCCGCCGTATCTTTAATGTCAAATTACCTATTTTTTTTACTAGTGCGGGCCACCTTATCGTGAACTGTGACTGTTGCCCATGTTCGTCTAATGTCGTGGTGTCCTGGGTATGACGATAAACTACATCCGACAGCAGGGCGATCAGGAGATTAGAGGTTTTGAGGAGCCTAGAACAACCTCTTAATTGCAGTTTTCCCCAGGTCCACCCTGACTCAGGGTGGTAGCACCTGTTAGGCTCCCAGCTATGGGCAAATAATCAACTCCCAAGTAAAATCAGTACATTTTATACTATTATTTTTATAGTAAAATGACAATCAATGTAACACTCATATATATATATATATATATATATATATATATATATATATATATAGTAAAACTAGCAGTATAACCCGTCTTTGACCGGATGTTTCATTAATGGAAATTTTTGCCGTTCATTTAGAGTAGTTTAAGTTTAAAGTCAGCCCACCCGGAAATCAATATTAGTATCAACAATTGAGACACATCCTCATTTAGGGGACTAACAAATTGAATGGGGTGGGGTGGTCCTGAAAAGGGCCGTTTTTGCGATCGCAATCTTGCAAGGAATGAACCTTTTCCTGTCATAATAATAATATACATTATCGTATATTATAATATTATTATTATTATTTTATTCATAATATAATTTTTTTTATAATTCTAATAATCTTTTGCGTTAGATTTCAAATCTCTTTATTGATTGTACGCTTATTTTTAGAGACATTAACTTTTGTCTTTCATTTAAAGCGCAAAGTGTAAAAAATCCGTTTTTTCGATTTTTCACCTTCAAAGCTGTAATTTTTTCCAGGTAATTTGGACTCAAAACCAGCGCTGGAGAATTATCTATCAAACAAAAAAAAAAATCATCGAGATCGGATGAAAACTATTGAAACGCATAAACAACATCCGATCACACACACTCATTCACATACATACATACACACACATTTTGAGAATTATAGATATAGATTACCAACAATACATTATATGATCTACAAACTATATATATCTAAAAAAACATACCTTTACTCAAAGTACAGAATATATTCAGTTGAAGCCGTAAAATTGCATTCAAAATATTTAGATTTCAGCATTAAATAACGCATAGAGGTTGATATGCCGCTAAACAAAATAGACAGCCTATGTCGTGGTGTAATTGTTAATGAGCAATTCTCGCAGATCAATTATTACTGAATAGACCATAGAAATATCCCGAGATGCGAGCAACAATATTGAGATGTCACAATCCAATTCGTAAAGAAATGTAGATGTCTAGAAAGTGATGCCTTTCATAAAATAAAACTCAGTTAAAAACAGAATCATTTTGTTAGAAAGGAAAGAAAAGTGTTGAAATTTTTATATAATTATAACTCTCCCAATAGAGCAGTGAATGCTGGGTAATTTACTCATAGATTTTAGAGGAGATTTACGACAACAGAAATGTGGTTCCACAGAAGGAAGCTGAGAATACCATGCAAGCAAATAGGAAGTCTTCAGGATAAAGAGAAACAAAACGGGTATTTGCACTTAAAGTCAGAAAGAGAACTGAATTTTATCGGATGCATAATGAAAGACGGCTTGGTAAGTTTGTGTTGTAACCTAGAAATGGTTACAGAATAAGGAATAGCCAAAACAAGGGCAAGAAATGAAATGGTAATCTTTATAAGATCAATAAAATAAAATACTCGCCAGCGGCGATATGTAGGTAAACCACTTCTAGTGGTGGACTACTTAGACAGCATATTACTCCCATCGAATGCGAAAGAGACAAGGTGAGTCAACTGGCTGCCTGTCTGATGAGCTTATGTGAATCGATTTTCGATTGCTGAACACGAACTGGGAAGGATTGTGAATAGACAAAGCTTACTAAGAGCTAGAAAGGATAGGAAGCTGTGGAGTACCATGATCACCCAACTCCTGAAGGGCGGTAGAACATAAAAAAAGAAAAAAAAATGAGACAAGGAACTGTGTAAGGTTGCAGTGGATTCTTTACAGTTAGGACGGAAGCTGACAGATACTTTTTAATAATCATTTCACACCCAAGCAAGGCGATAATTCCACTAAGACGCAAGGGGTTACTGAGAGTGAAAGACAACGAAAAGACTTTAGTGAGGAAAAACGACAAGAAAAGGACAGAGTTCAGGGCGACAGAAGATGGCGGTTGACGGTCATACATTTTTGGAGAACGTAGGTGTCAGAGAAGCAAGAATCTGGAAGACAGTTCCATACTATTAGAGTAGAAAATAGAGCTTACTGTTACATCTGTCGATCCCAACAACAAAATGATGAGACCTATTTTCCAATATATATATATAAAGACATTTTTATGTTTAACGTTCTTTTTATAGATACAAGTATTTAACTAAATGCTCTGTTTATAATAAACAGTATTAAATAACATTTACATAGAAAATATTCGTCCTTCGACAGGATTCGAACCTGTATCCTATACGGTACCGTCATATAGCCTGACTTGCCTTACCTGTCTTTAAATAATTGTACAGTTCATTTTATATATATATATATATATATATAACCTGAACATAGTATTGTGTATTTCATGCCATTCTGTAGGGGGCTATCATCAGTCCCTAAGTGTCTGTCTCGGAGCATTGTTTTAAATTTATTTTGAATGTCAGTCCTGGAGTTTATTTATGGTCAGGACCTTTCGTTGTATAATATCAGTTCCTATTATGTGGCGTTTCTTATACGAGCCCCGAGTATGTTTTTCCGGGATTCACAGTAAATAGCTCTCTGTGGATCAGTTTTAATAATTAATATTACTAGAATCCACCCGGATTATATATCAACGGGCCGATTACCTTTACTATATATATATATATATATATATATATATATATATATATATATATATATATAATAAAGTGATGTTTTTTTTTTTAATAGGCAGAGGGAGGAGGTTGCGTTGCCAGAGAAGCTGAAATAGATTTAAGAGAAAAATATGTCAGGAACGAATTCTTCAGTTTTCTGGTGTCAAAGGGGCTCCTGGGTTCCATCGATGTGCTTTGTACTTGACTCCCATTTCTCTTCTAGCTACAGGCGCAGCGGGGATTGACGCAAGAATGGCGAATGGCGCCATATTCCTCAGATTGCATACGATGTCAGAATTGTCTTTCATCCACCCAATATTATTTGTTCTTTCGTTCGATTGTTTCTTTCGGTTTACGACAGGTTTTACTTTATTCTTGTCGCAATTCCTTCATTTGAAGTAACGCCTTCTTTTTTTCTTCAGAAATATTAATTTCAGTGTCTTTTACGCTCGAACTTTTTCTGCTTATTTGAATCATTTTGTTCACGTGACCTTCTTTTATTCTTTCCTTTTGTTTTATATTTCATCTTTGTTTTACACGAAGACTTTTCTTCCTCCATTTCTTTTTTCTATTAAGTATTCACTTCTTTCTTTCTTTCTTTCTTTCTTTCTTTATTTTCTTTTTTCTATCAAATAGTCGATTCTTTCACTTTCTTTCAGTAAATATTAACTTCTCCCTTTTCTGTTTTCTTCCTTTCTATTAAATGTTAGTTTCTTCCTCTTCTAAATATTTTCTTATGATAAATAGGCGTTTGTTTCCAACTAAAATCTTTTCTTTCTTCTATCAAATAAAAACATCTCGCTTTCTTTCTTTCTAAATATTTTCTTTCTTTTCTTTTAAATATTCCTTTCTATCTTTCAAAATATTTCTTTCTTTCTTTCTTTCTTTCTTTCTTTCTTTCTAAATACTCTTTCTTTCTTTCTTTCTTTCTTTCTAAATACTTCTTTCTTTCTTTCTTTCTTTCTAAATATTTCTTTCTTTGATTCTTTTTTCTTTTTTCTTTGTTTCTTTCTAAATACTTTTTTATTTATTTCTTTGTTTCTTTCTAAATACTTCTTTCTTGCTTTCTTTCTTTCTTTTTTTCTTTCTTTCTAAATACTTTTTTCGGTCAAACAGAGGTAATATCCGATGTGTGGATTGAAATCGACAGACTGAGTTCAAGTTCCGGCTAAAGCTGTTCAATTGATACTAATCTTATTTGGAAAGTCATGAAGCCATTTCTTTACCCTTTAGTTATAGGGTAAATATGACAGAATGGTCTCTCCAGGCTTGGGTAGCAGCTAGTGTAGAAGATCAATCCTGAATTGAGAATGCTACAGGAAACCATTCCAATTTATCTTCCCCATGAATTGTCATGGCAGTTTTTCGCAGATATTAACGGAAAGGAAATCGAGGAGAACCATGACCCCTTACACCCAGACGTGACATAGCATTTAAAAAATATCAGTTCTCGGATTTCAACTGCTTATCAAGCTGGCCTTTTCCTCTCTGAACGAATGATAACCTCCGTTTTCCAGAAAATTATGCTCAAATTTTATTGATATATGAAATCGTATCGTACATCGATGTAATTTATATATTAGGGCAGCGTTTCTCAACATTTTTTTTACCTATGTGGAACCATTGAAATAGTTTTCATATTTCAGGGCAACCCGCATAAAATTATTATATATCATGAATATTATCTATCCCTTTTATATTTTACTAGCATTAGAGCCCAGTGTTGCCCGGGGATATAACAGTAAGAGATAGATCAAGTATCCACCATCATAAAGACTGAAAAATAAAATTGACAAAGATTATTGTTTCAGGTTGACGGACACGCATGTCTTAATTAGTTTGTTTTGTTTTTTTTTACGAATTGGTCAAACCCAAACTCAAACAAAAACATTGTTTTCAATCGTTATGAGTCTACTGATTGAATAGAATTTGATTATAAATAATAGTCTTGTAAATGGAATTTTTAAAGCATTCTGAATGTTAAAAATAAAGAAAAAAGTGTGCAAGAGAATAAGAAACACTACCTGCCAAAAAAAAAAAAAATAAAAAAGTGAAGTTTTGTTTTATCGGCTGAAAAATATAGGAAATCCGATGTGAGTTGTCCCCTTCCATTTTCACGATGTCTCTTAATCGTGTTTTCAAATTGATTTTGTGCAAAAACAATTATATTTTTCCCATTTTTGGCGCTGTTAGAACCACCACAAGGTAATTTTATGTAGTCCTGTGAAGTTTTGTTGAAATCGGTTGAAAAATGTAGGAAATCCGATCCAATATATAAACGTTACACACACACACACACACACACACACACACACACACACACACACACACACACACACACACACACACACACACAATCTGCGTTTTATAATAAGTAAGATTATAATAACCAATGTTTTTCTAACAGTATGTAGTACGTGTATTGTAAAATTACGAATATACAGGGTGAGTCAAAATTATGTTTACACTAGTATGAGAGGAATTATTTATTCAGAGTTTACTGAACAGTCTCCACCTGTCCACCAGCACGATTGATGCACAAAAACCAGCGATCAACAGTACAATTTAGTGCCTTGACAAACATTTCACAGGGAATGTTTGATATTACACCTTTTATTCTGTCCTTGAGAAATCGAGTGAGCAGCTGCTCGCTATCCCCCAAAAGGAGTTCAATGAGTGATTCCATCAATGGAAACGACGCTCGATAACGTGTATGGCTTTTGAAGGCGACTGTTTCGAAGTAGATTAAACGCAGAATTGATATATGTTGTAGTTTTCTTTTTATAGTACCAGTCCCGATGCTTTTTGACCGATTTTGTATGAGTGGTTCTGAAAACCATTCTGTATTGATAAAAAAATGTTTGTTAAGAAACGTCCAAATTAACAAAATGAACAAATCGACAGAAATATAGGAATATGGCACTTTATTTAGAAAATTGGACGAAGCAATCTTCTGAAAGTTTCCAAAAACAATATCCAAAAATCGGTAAATCCAATTTCCGCTTTCTTTTACGACTTCCTAATCTCTGCAAGTCTATTTCTTTGATTATTACGTGAGGGTGCTGAAAACTTTTAGTCCGACCTACTTTCCAAAATGAAAACAAATTTCAAAACACCAGCTTTATTTTATTTTTTTTTGCAGAACTAAATACCGCATCGTAATCCAGCAATCTTTTCTTTGTTTCTAACGAATTTTGAACTGAATATTTCCGCATCGTAATCCAGCAATCTTTTCTTTGTTTCTAACGAATTTTGAACTGAAAATTTCCGCATCGTAATCCAGCAATCTTTTCTTTGTTTCTAACGAATTTTGAACTGAATATTTCCGCATCGTAATCCAGCAATCTTTTTTTGTTTCTAACGAATTTTGAACTGAACATTTCCGCATGGTAATCCAGCAATCTTTTTTTTTGTTTCTAACGAATTTTGAACTGAATATTTCCGCATCGTAATCCATCAATCTTTTCTTTGTTTCTAACGAATTTTGAACTGAAAATTTCCGCATCGTAATCCAGCAATCTTTTCTTTGTTTCTAACGAATTTTGAACTGAATATTTCCGCATCGTAATCCAGCAATCTTTTTTTGTTTCTAACGAATTTTGAACTGAACATTTCCGCATGGTAATCCAGCAATCTTTTTTTTTGTTTCTAACGAATTTTGAACTGAATATTTCCGCATCGTAATCCATCAATCTTTTCTTTGTTTCTAACGAATTTTGAACTGAACATTTCCGCATCGTAATCCAGCAATCTTTTCTTTGTTTCTAACGAATTTTGAACTGAACATTTCCGCATCGTAATCCAGCAATCTTTTCTTTGTTTCTAACGAATTTTGAACTGAACATTTTCGCATCGTAATCCAGCAATCTTTTCTTTGTTTCTAACGAATTTTGAACTGAATATTTCCGCATCGTAATCCATCAATCTTTTCTTTGTTTCTAACGAATTTTGAACTGAATATTTCCGCATCGTAATCCAGCAATCTTTTCTTTGTTTCTAATGATTTTTTTCCGTTTCACAGCAACGTTGCTTAATTTTTGGAATGCTTCTTTCGTTAGTTCAATGCGTACTTAGTATTTCCGTATCACATTTTCCATTCTCTGTTAAAACACTCTACAAATATTTAATCTTCGTCACCTGCCGGTGTCCATATTCCCAATTTATCAATCGTTTCTTAGGCTTTTTCCTCGAATAACTTATTAGAAAGAAAATAAATATTTCAACAACTAACCTGTACTACAAATCTATCACTGATCAACATATAACATTAAGATATACCCAAAACCTCTATCTGACCTTAAACAACACTACAGTGGTTGAAGGTTCTTTAAACCGAAACAAAGCCTAAGAAACTGAGACTAGGGTTATTTCGGTCAAATATTGACAAGCTTATACAAGGTGTCCATAAAGTTCATTCGTGTGCACTTTAAAAAATTTATAACTTTATTTGTATTTGCGATAGAAATAATCTGCAAAAAAATCTTATAAAGGTTAATGTACCTAGTTACGTAAAATAACAAATATAATTTCAGGCATTACTGTAAATCAGTTGGCAAATGTTTTCCGTGAACTGCAAAATTGTATTACCCTTTGTATTGCTCATGATGGCGGACATGTGGAAACTTAAATAAAATTTCAATAAAACCTTAAAAAAATATAGATTTACTTCTTTCTAATCCTTTTTAAAAATTATTTCTATCGCAAATACAAATAAAGTTATAAATTTTTAAAGTGCACACGAACTTTATGGACACCCTGTATTAGACTGTGTTTTTGTGGCTATTCTTTTTTGTTTGTTTTAATCGATTTCACCACATGCAAGGTAAAGCCACTAAGACACAAGGAGTTACAGGGTGTGGAAGAATTAGGAACAGAACATTAATAATAAGCGGGAAGAGAAAAGAATAAATCAGGAGGACAGTAGATAGCGACTGACATTGCATTTAAATGTTTGCAGATTAAAGTTGGCTGGGAAGCATGAAGCCGGAAGTTCGTTCCACAATCGAGAATTGCGAGAAAGGAAACCTGTTAGCATAGAACTTATGGCTACATCTAGCCCGATCAACTGTAAACTAATGAAATCTCAGCGCCAGTCTAGTATTGCGCTTAAATTCAAAAAACTCTCCGTACCATAGCGAAGCGCTCATCCGAACAATTACCATGAAAAATAGAAACGACACGGGGAGGCAACCTTACGGCGTTGGGAAATTGAATGGTAAAAATCAAGTCTGAGCCTTCCTCATTTACGTGTCCCTTCAGTATGATCATAGCTCTCCATAACGTCCTATTCTTTGTAGTTATCAGCTCGCTAGATATGTTACGGGACATACTGAAAGGAAAAGATCCCGATGGAAGCAGAAAGTAACGTTCTTGGAATGGCAGAATGATCTGAGATTTATGGTAAGGGAGCAAATATTACTTAGAGCTACAAAGAATAGAGAGCCTTGATCAGTCGTATGCTTAAAGTCCACGTAAATGAGGACGACTGGGATTTAATCTTTAGAGGATTTGACATTCAGATGGAAGCAGCAAATGAGTTTCAAATTATCCAAGCATTCTTTCCTCATTTCAAGTGTCTCTTTCTGCTCCTAATCAAAAGTGTTCTTTTCGTTCTCATTTTCATTAAAGTTTCATCCGTGTCCACATGTTGCGTCCATAGTATTCTCAATATCCTTCCGTAGAACCATATATCTGTTGTCTCAAGTCTTCAGCTTGTTCAGCATTCACTATCGTATGTTGCGATGTGTGTCGTCTCTGGCTTCTTGTGGTTTATTGGGAATTCTTCAGCCCTCAATGCTGCATCACAGGCTGATTGACCAACGGACAATTCTCTTGGGATTCTTTTCCTCGCTTTATTTCATAGTCGAGGACAGTAGTAGTAGCGTCGGTTGTTGGAGGAAGAGAGAGAGAGAGAGAGAGAGAGAGAGAGAGAGAGAGAGAGAGAGAGAGTGAGTACGGATTCCATTATGTCAGCCAGCAGCTTTTCATCATCCTGTGGTGGTCTGTCCGATTTAAGAAATCTGGGAGTAGAGAGGTATCTTCAGTCTCCTATTTTGGCAACTGTACTGTCTGTGTATTTTTCGGTTTTATATTAAACTTTAATCAAAGACAATCCATCATTTTCAAAATTTGTTTTCATATTATTGTTCACCCAATACAAGGCCTAAGAGCCATTCAAGGCAGAGTATTACTGAATGATATTGCTGTAAGGGCGTAAAGGAGGAAGTAAAAAGTGCATATCATGAGGACACACACACACACACACACACACACACATATATATATATATATATATATATTCAAATTGAATTTGTAGGTTTGATGAATCCAATGTAATAAATTATAACCATGGAATATTAGTGTTTAAGACTTTTTATTATATTCTTACTCTGTCCTGGACATTGAGTTCTACCTGGATTCTATATTCTATCCTCTTGGAAATTATATATATATATATATATATATATATATATGTGTGTGTGTGTGTGTGTATGTATGTATATATATATTTATATATTTTATATATATATATATGTATATTAACCACAATTATATATATATATATATATATATATATATATGTCAGTCAGTTATGTGCCATGCGTGATACACGCTTAGGCGATCATATATCTCTCGATAAATCACTGACAAGGCAGATTTTTTCCGGCAGTAGTTTCCCATTTCTTTCTGCGGTAGACCAGTTGCCATCTGTCCTGCTATTTACCATTGCTTGGGAGAGAAGAAGAGGATTCATACTTTTCCCAAGGATATTAGCACGTAAGTGAATGTAATGGATTCGACTGGAATTTGAACTCGGCTCTCCGATTTCTCAATCCGAGCCGCTATCCATTACTCTACCGTGCCTCCGAGGATATGTAGGATAGATAACGGCTGACCCTAATCATGAAGAGATTGAGATCGTAATAGTAAGTAAATCATTTTCTTTGGAGTCTGTTTCACAAGGTGAAAATTCTGAAGAAAATGGAAGTTATTCCTTACCAATGGAATATGAAGGGAAGTTGATTCTAGGAAAGTGGTATGGCGTGTCGTAGCTGTGAAACTTTGAAATTGTGGTACTAAAAAAATTAGCTCGTCTGAACATTTTCCATGAAAATAGTGATAGATTATCGAGGGGCGAGTGACGTTTTGTCTGCAGGAAAGGAGTTGAACGGTGGAAAATAATCACCCACAAAACCACGTAGCAGCACCAGCCCAGATATGGCTCGTGTAAATACAGACAATAGCAGTAGGTGTCAGATACTTTCAGGAGCGGTACAGTAAACAGACTGTACTTCTATCATTAATGGTATGAATATTTGAGTTCCACTTGAGGTTTGGATTGAGCTTCAGTTTCTAGACGTACAAGGCAATGAGTTTCATTTAGAGTACAGCCGCTCATCAGCAACACCCATGAAGTTCAAACTACTTCCACGCAGTTCGGGTCGTCAGAGTTCTAACCAGTGCCATTTTCGGCTAGCCTACCCATTTTCTAACATTTATAGAAGGCGTACATTTATTAAAAACTTGTGGTGGAAAAAGGCCAGGAAATAATAATCTAGACGAGGCAAAGCCTCGTAAATAAAGTGAACTTGATCCTCCCAGAGTTGAATCAGGAGAACGACGCCCGGTTTATTAAATGAAGGCGCCTAACTACTTTTTTTTCTCGTTTGGATATAGACATAGGTGTAGTGTGTAGGCGTTGATTGCAAATCTTGCCTATATTTTGCTGGTAATTCAATGCGGTTGCGTAAAAGCAGCTGGGGTCGAATCGACGACAGGAAGAAACAGAATCTGAAACGATTAAGAGAACGAAACTGATGCCGAAGACCGAAAAAATTCGGGAAAAAAGCAGAAAAGAGAGCAATGGATTTCTTTGCAGAGAGGCACACGTGTAAAAATAACTTTCTCCCTCGTGCATGTTGAGAAAAAGAGATTTTGAACCAGGGGTTTATGAAATGGCGTTTTTTGATATCTTCTCTTTAGCATCTTCCAGAACTTTCAGTTTTATCTTCTCTTTATCCGCCTATAAGTTCATTCGGATGACGGCGAGTTAAATAAATAATTGGTAGCGGACTACTAAGCAAGGTTTATTGATAAAACTGAGGGCTTGCCATAGAGCGAACATTAGGGAATTATCACACAAGCAATTGCTAGTAATTTTGACTTTGGTTGGGAGACTAAATATTGAATCTGCCTCAAATCTCGCTCTAAATCTATCTATCTATCTATCTATCTATCTATCTATCTATCTATCTATCTATCTATCTATCTATCTGAGCCTATTCCATATCTATCTATCTATCTATCTATCTATCTATCTATCTATCTATTTCAGTATGTTCAAACTTACCTCTCTCTCTCTCACTATCTATCTATCTGTTCATATTCCTTTCCTTATCTATTTATTTCAGTCTGTTCAAACTTTTCTATCTATCTATCTATCTATCTATCTATCTATCTATCTATCTATCTATCTATCTATCTATGTCTACATTTCTGAGATGAGGTATTGTAACTATTTACACTATTTACATCTTTCGGATTGTTTTCCTCATCTTTATTGCTATATTCACGACGTTTCGGTCGTTGTTCGCTTCGAATTTCTTCAGGTGATATACGTTCGAATTTTGAATTTAATTCAACGTACCATGCCCTTATTGGATATTTAAGTTAATTCCCTTTAGTAAGCCAGCTCTCCAAGTTATTGTTCCAGCTGCTGTGGCCAGGTATTGAACGCACAACTCTTTGAGTCAAGTCATTTTTTTGATTACTCAACCAACGCTTTTATCCATCTGTCTTGGTATATACATTATCTATCTATCTATCTATCTATCTATCTATCTATCTTGGTATATACATTATATTATCTATATATCTATCCTAGTCTGAAAATTATCTATCTATCTATCTATCTATCTATCTATCTATCTATCTATCTATCTATCTATCTATCTATCTCAATGTTTTACAGACTGTTTTTAATATCTAAATCATTAACACAACATCTTTCACAATGCAAATTCCAAATTCAAAGAATGTTTTCTCATTCATGATTGTTATCGGATCTTATTATTGCAGATTTGTATCCAACACTTTTTTTTTACTGTCTTTCAATCCTCGACCTCGCCGTTTTTGGCCTTCCATATCTTAACGACAATAAATTACAGCCAATCGTTGGTATGATTTTGCAAACCGAATCGCTCGTCTCTTCCATTAAAAACATGGATTTATCTCATCAATATTGAAGGTCTTTTAATTTCCGTTTTGTTGTTTTATCCTTGCATAAGTCATTTGCTCATTTTCCGGTAAAAAATCATTTCTATCATCTCATCAAACGCACACACACACAGACACACACACACACACACACACACACACACATATACCCACAAACACACACGCACAAGCATGCACGCGGTCGCCGGCCATGTCACGTTGAAACATAGGTTCTCGTTAGAACCTAGATGATCAGTACCAAAATGGGTGACCACATGGGTATGCCGAGTGATGCAAGCTACGATGTGCGGGTGGTGTAACTGATAACGGCTCGGAATGAGAGAACGGAGAGCCGAGTTCGAATTCCAGTCAGCTCTCCCTAGATTAGACTACCGTAATCGCAAATACCCTTAGAAAAGGCATGCATCAGTTATTTCACCACCCAAACCCCATCTATGGGTTAAATAATAAGATTTGTATCTGAAAATCATTATGGTTTACAAAAAAAATGTTAATACAATATTCATTCGCAAAGAAAAAAGAAAAAAAAAACATTCTTATAATCCGAAAAATATTTTTCGGCTTTCAAAAGGTTGATAAACCGTAAAGAACCAAACACACACACACACACACACACACACACACACACACACACACATACATAAATAATCAGTATTTAATGGCCACTTTTCTGGTTGTTAGTTACGATCAAAATGTTTGAATTATCTGAAAAAGAAAACTTGGGACCTTCGCTAAAATCGCGCTGGAAAAAATATTGAAATTTGCAAGTCATATTCTTCTTCTTTTATGTGCCTTGTCCTTTCAAGGCGTAGGGCAATCATGGCTCTCCACAACTTCCTATACTTTGTAGTTTCAGACAAAATCTGTTCTCTTAATTTCTCTCCAAGTCTCACTTCTATCCATTAACACAAGCCTCTTGTTGTTTCCTTCTGTCCCTCCAGCCTTTTCTCCGCCCTGTAAGTGATAACTTCTCCCAGCCCCCTTTCCTCACTATATACCACAGAAATTTCAACAAACTCTTTCTGATTCTGGTTCGCTTTAACAAAGAATTAAAAAAAATTGTAAATCAATACACCCAATGTTTATCGGAATAAGTCTGATAATAATATTTAAAGAATGCAGTTTTAATGAAAGGAGAAAGTAATTAAAGCATAAATGTATAGAAGGTGCACTAATTTCTGAGTTTTCTATGATAAATCTAAGGTCACGATCATACAACATATCAGATTTCCTAAAAAAAAAAAAGAAAAAAAAAAAGAAAAAAAGGGATATTTCAAGAACAATTCGAGGGCAAAAAACAGATTTACCATTCATCCAGGCTTCGAATATTGTTGCCATATCTGGTCCGATCTTACTGCTATATATTTAAAGAACTTTGATAAAATTCGAAGAAGAATCTGCAATGTTATTGGTCCTGACCTGGCATCTCAGTTTTAGTCAGTTTCCCACCACTGTAATCTAGCTTCCTTATGCCTTTTCTATAAATACTGTCAAGGTAATTGTGGGCGAGTCTTGCGCGTCTGTGTCGAATAAAAAGAGATAACTTAGAGTGACATTTTGACGCCAGTTAGGCATCAGGATATTGGGATCTGTGTGGAACATAGGCAACCCCGGCCCAAATTAAGTTTAGAATTGTCTTTATCCTTAGTTTCTTCTTTCAAAGTTAGCTTGGGGATGTATTCGCATCGGCCTTTTTTTTTATTTCAGTCCCCAGTTCATCTCGAGGTTCTCGAAAAAATCCAAAGACGGATATGCAGTATGATAGGTCCTGACCTGGCATCTCGACTCCAGTCACTTTCTCACAGACGTGATGTGGCTTCCCTCTGCCTTTTCTACAAATATTTTCATGGCAACTTCTCTGATGAGCTACTTTCATTGGTGCCCCAACTGCATGAATTTAAGCGTGCTACTAGGTTGGCATCTCGGTCCCATCATTTTACTGTCGAAACAGTTAAATGTAACCGCCTCTTCTACTACAACAGCTGCTTCTCTTGCACTTCCCGACATTGAAACTCCCTTTCTCTTACTTGTTTCCCTGATGACTATAATCTTTAAATGTAATGTTTCTTTCCTCGACACATAAACCCTTGTGCAAATTAATTGAAACAACTGCTTTAGTTTTCTTTTCTTTCAGCATACAGTCAGTTTTATATCTACTGCAGTGACAGGTGTAATCGATTTCTATTTTTTCCTCAGATTAGATCATTAGCAGTTGTGTGCAGTAATATGAATTTCGGGATGTATGATGATATTTGTTTGGCCTTGAAAAATTTTTCGTCATCCGTGATTGCATCAGATTTTTATCACGCCCAAACACTATTGTCTTGACTGTCGATTAGTTGTCCTACGGCCATTGTCTGCGATGGACGTTACTCCAAGGAAGCGTACGAAAATTGTAACGCTCCGCGGACACACTGGCAAACCTTACCAGTGAGCAAATCAAAATACTATTGACTGACCCGGAAACTCTCCTGATTTAAATCCAATCGAGAATCTGTGGTCAATCTGCAAGGAATGACTTCGTGGAATGGACATACGAATTACGTGTATTACGTCTACCGACCTACACCCTCGAGGAAATGTGCTTACCGGCAAGAAACGGCAAGAGTACAGATTCTACGGGAGAAAAAGTGGGAGTTAGATTTCTATTATCATTAAGTAATACACCGATCGCATCAGAATTAATATATGTTTTAAGACGCACATGTAAAAACTTTGTAATAATATCAAAGACTTAACAGTAAACAGTCATGTTTTTATGGTACTGGTAAATGAGTATAAATATTACAATCTACTGGACGTAAAATGGGGATCAGTTTTCTCTTGTTATTAAGTAATAAATTGAATAAATCACTAGATATTAATATAATAAAAGGAAAACCTATTTAAAAGCTTACATTTGAAAACCTAAGAATAGTAAACACTTCCAATATATTTCATACCGTTTGTTAATGCAAGACTCGATTTGACGTAAAATGGAGGATCAGTTTTCTGTTGTTATGAAGTCATAAATTGATCCCTCCCAAATTACTACTCAGGAACAAATTCTATTTAAAAGCTCACATTTGAAAACCTAAGAATAGTAAGGATTTAAGAAAATATATTTGATATTGGGAGTAAATTACTTTTGATGCAATAGTCTATTGGAAGCAAAATGGGGGATCAGTTTTCTATTGTTATTAAGTAGTAAATTGATCCTTTCAAATTTACTAGATATTTATATAAGAGGACAAATTCTATTCAAAAGCTCACATTTGAAAACCTAAGAATAGTAAAGACTGAAGAAAATATATTTGACACTATGAGTAAACAAACTACTATTGTCGTAAAGTTGGGGATCAGTTTTCTATTGTTATTAAGTAATAAATTGATCACCCATGATTACTATATATTAATATGATTGGACACTGTATTTAATGATTCATATCTGAAAACATTTTAAGAATAAGTAAGGCCTTAAGAAAATAATTTTGACAGCATGAATAAACCTCATCTAAGATTTAATTGGGCGTAAAGTGGATGATCGATTTCCTGTTGTTATTAAGTGATACATTGATTCTGAGGATTGTTACTTATTTATATAATAATTGGAAAAATATATTCAAAGATTCATATATTGTAATGAAAAAAGTACGCAGGTGTAGGCTTTAAGAAAGCTTTATTCAATTGAGAATACAAGGTTCGCGTATAGTGTTCTTTTATAGTCCCAGTAAACAGAAATAGCTCTCTCAAAGGGGAGAGTAACGAAACAAGGGGAGACCACTGTTGATTATTTATAAGACATATAAAAACCTTTTAACAATATGAAATTATTTAAAAAATATTCCGGCATTTTTAGAATATAGTAGTAGTAGTAGTAGTAATAATAATAATAATAATAATAATAATCCGAAATGTTTGAGAATATGGGTACTACTACTACTACTACTACTACTACTACCACCACCAATACTAATACTACTAATAATGTGTGGGATCTTAAATTTTTTGTTGTTTTTTTACAAAAATGATCAGTCGAAAATTTCATGAAGCCATTTCTGACCTTAGGTCTCTGGTTGGGACCCTGAGGGAAATGTGTTATCAATTAAGTGCTAACAATTAAATGACATTTCTCCTATAGGGGCTAAGGATAATAGTTTGGACGCGACTCTACAGGACACAAAACAGGAAACATAACATACACAAATAATAATAATAATAATAATTTCTGGTAGTCCATGCCTCAAAGAGATACAAAAAATTGTTCTGACAAGCACAGCTCACACTTTATGAAGGGCTTTATCTATGTAAATTTTTTTTTTTTTTTTTTTTGTCAGTGGAAAGTGTCATGATGCCATCTCTAACCTTAGGTCCCTGGGCGGGACCCGGAAAGAAATGTGTAAACGCCAGAAATCAAAGGAAATAAAAAAAAATAATAATATCATCATCATTTCTTGAACAGAAATTCTAAGTATTTAGCAATTGTTGGCGTTTACTGTCATCTAGAGTAAGCTAACCCCGAAAGAATTATCGAGCAAAAGCAGTAGCAGCAGAAATGTTGCCACCCAAAAACAAAATAAATAACGAAGTATTAGACCGCCTTTCTCAAAGAATGCTTTTTACTGCAAACCAAAATTGTTCTAGAAGAATTTGAAAAATGGGCAGAGTACATGAAGAACGCATTTTTGAGCCTCGATTCTGTATTCTTAATTTTTTTTTTTTAAGAATTAAACATACTTATACACTGACTCACTCCTGATATTATGGATCTGC